ATTTTCGGGGTAGGTCTTACTTTCGGGGGAAACACGGTATACATACAGTATCTCACAGAATACAGAGTACACCCCTCACATTTTTGTAAATATTTTATTATATCATCTGAAGAAATGACACTTTGCTACAATGTAAAGTAGTGAGTGTACAGCTTGTATATCAGTGTACATTTGCTGTCCCCTCAAAATAACTCAACACACAGCCATTAATGTCTAAACCGCTGGCAACAAAAGTGAGTACACCCCTTAGTGAAAATGTCCAAAGTGTGCCCAATTAGCCATTTTCCCTCCCCGGTGTCACGTGACTCATTAGTGTTACAATGTCTCAGGTGTGAATGGGGAGCAGGTGTGTTAAATTTGGTGTTATCGCTCTCACTTTCTCATACTGTTCACTGGAAGTTCAACATGGCACCTCATGGCAAAGAACTCTCTGAGGATCTGGAAAAATAATTGTTGCTCTACATAAAGATGGCCTAGGCTCAGGGCAGCCATCAGAAATTGGCTTTAGGCCGGCCCCCCTCCACCGTGCCGCTGGACGCTGGGCTTAGTGACACGCTGAACACTGGACCCACCTGAGAGTGACCCTGCAGAGCCCACCATAGATGCTGCACAGCCCATCTGAGACTGTCTATGGTGGGCTCTGAAGGGGTCTCAGGTGGGCTGGTCAGGGCTGTATCCCTCCCCTCCTTTCCTTCCTTCCTTCCTAGCTCCTCTTACCTGCACACGTGCACATGGCCTCGTCTGCCATGTGTGTCATATCCAGAGGTTGTCTTTGGGAAATAGACGTATGAGTCCTGCCAGCATTGCTGCAGAGGTTGAAGGGGTGGGGGGTCAGCCTGTCAGTGCTCAGACCATACGCCGCATACTGCATCAAATTGGTCTGCATGGCTGTCGTCCCGGAAGGAAGCCATTTCTAAAGATGATGCATAAGAAAGCCCGCAAACAGTTTGCTGAAGACAAGCAGACTAAGGACATGGATTACTGGAACCATGTCCTGTGGTCTGATGAGACCAAAATAAACTTATTTATATATATATATATATATACATATATACACAGTATATGGCAAACCTTCTAAGAACTTTAGAAAAAAGTGTTACAAAATGATTTTCTTTAGGGAGAATATCTCCTGGCTTATGTTAGCAGCTGTGATCAGAACTTTTTAGCCAGCTGCTCATATGGAGGGTGTGTGGTTTTTCATTTTGTAACATTACATCATTTAACTGTATGGCTTAGCCAAATATTACAAAATAGTAATTCCAGGGAAACACACAATTTTCTGCTTTGCCCACTAGGTGGTGATGCAGATCTAAAACTGGATCTAAAGCAGGCGCATGTTGCTAATTGACTCCTGTGACAAAGCCACTGTCTTTGTAGCAGATAATATTATCAAATGAACTGTAGCATGTCATGCTCTGCTTCTTTAGTGAAGACCTTCCTAGCCAGTATTCCATGAAAATGCTCAACCTTGATGTGATCTCAGCCACTATTCTGATAATGGAATAGGTATATAAATATGCTACATCCTTATATGAATATGATTTCCAACTATAAAAGAGAGATGATTTACACATACAGGTGTGTGAGTGATTCTATTTTTATCTTGTTTAAAGGATGGAGGCTGCAGCTGTCCAGGAGATGTCGCCAAAGCATTTGGTGAGTTGTGTGACAGCATATAACACCTGTACAGCAGATTGTGTTATTAGGAATAATGCATTTCCTTTTAGCTTCCCCCAAGACATTATCCAGTTGCAAGCTTTACTTGTGGATAGAAAAGTGCACTATCTACAAATCTATTTATACACATATACACGAACCCACCCTAAATACTCCCAGCATTTTTATTTTTTTTCTGCTACTAGACAACCAGGAGATGGAGATATTTCTGCCATGGTGTCCACGATGATATATACCGTCCAACAGGCTTCGTTTTAGAAGGTTTGTCTCAGTTTTCCATCCAAAACACTAGGGGCATTTTTATAATGTCTTGAATTTGGCATTCATTAAACCTTAGTGCGAGGAAATAAAACCTCCCCTTATGTAAATGGCTTTTGGTTATCTGTTCCCCGCTCTCACAGGCTCTAAGACCGGTACCTTCAGCCTGTTTCCCCTTCCGCTCTGTCGGTTGGAGGCCCGACAATGTCATTACATACATTTTAGGGCCTATAGCCCTGCACCAGTTGACAGTCTACAATCTGGACTGTAGGGAAGTTAAGGTGAGTACCGACTGCCCAGGGAGCAGGTAAGTAAAGGTCCTTTTCACAGATCCTCTAGACATTACCAATCAATTAACTCTTGCAATAAGGGATAGCTCCATTGTAAGGGCATTTTTTTTTTTTTTTTTTACTGGAGATAGGTTTTAAGGCTATGGGTGGGAGGGGACCCACTGACCACCAATGCCTTTAGGGAGAGGGGGAAACATTACTGACCACCAGTGCTTTTAAGGGCTTTTTCACATGGGTGCAATGCAGGATTGACATTCAGCAGTTTTAGTCTAGAGTAAGGTATAACAAACACCCCTCAGAAGCTATGCTGGATTGGTTGGCAAACGATCAGCTGCCATGGGTAACACATTTTCCTTTGTACTTAGTTATTAGTGTTTATATGCAGAGATGGATTAAGGTGGAATGGGGACTTAAGCAAGGTAGCAATGTGCCCCCCATGGAGAAACTTTCCCATTTGCATTGTCTGTATTGGCATGCCCTGCCTCATCAGAAACCAACTAAGTGCATCCTCCCTTGTGAAGTGACAGATAGGTGCACAGCTCTGGTCATTTGTGCTATCCACCTGGTTTTCTGCATGTGCGTATAGATTATAGCTGGATCCCTTAGACATCAGCCAGGCCCCAGGCTTGGCTTCTGTGGCCTTATCACCTCAAGAAATCTCGATAATCCAGGAAAACGTTCCCACTTCCCAACTTTAGAACTTCAGAGCAATGGACACACTAGGATCGGCAGCGTGTGTAGTGAAAAGTGGGCATGATTAAATTATGCTATATTGGGTGTGGTTTAATATAGTTCGAGCCTAGTTGAAGTATACATCACACATATTTACGCCACATTCCTTGTACTCAAAAAATACTTCTTAATTACAGTGGCACAATTGAGAGTCTTACAGACATAATGTACATATCCCTTAGTGCAAACATTGAAACTCTTTCATTACACATGCCTTTCTCTGCACAGAATATAAGCAAACAGCTAGACTTTGTCTGATCTTTCCTTAAAGTAGAACATCATTAAAATAGTTGGGTACAAAATAGCAACTATCAACTGTTGAGACAAAAAGCACCATTGTCAGGAGTATGTATTATACAGCACAGCTTACAAAGTGCAGCAGTCAGAACTATATAACATACATCATAACAAATAGAGCGCATCAGTTAGTAGTTGTAATATGCAACTTAGGTAAGAGAATGCAGAGATCAGAAGTGGAGCACACAGCACAAGATACAAATTGCAAAAGGCAAAAATATCTTGCCGCTCAGTGGAAGAAAATAAAAAAATGTGATCAGTGGGTAAAAGTATTTCCCATAGTCAGTGTATGTGAGAAAAATCCCCCTCCCAGTATCTACATCAGTGGGAGGAAGAATACCCCCTCACAAGGCATTGGTGGTTAGTGGGGGGAACCACCAAACGTGCTTTTGCATGCTGTACAAGGCATTGCACCCATGTGAAAAAGCCCTTAAAAGCACTGGTGGTCAGTAATGTTTCCCCCCTCTCCCTAAAGGCATTGGTGGTCAGTGTGTCCCCTCCCCCCATAGCCTTACTTATCTCCTGTGCAGTGTCCCAATCACTGTCTGTGCATAGATGTCACAGGCAAAACTAGGTTCATAATATCAAGCATGAGATCATTCCACCCGGCAGTATGTGCTCAGTGGAGCCAACTACTGTGACAAGTGTTCCAGTACTCTACTGTAGGACAGAGTCTGCCAGAATGCCAGGATTATATTAAACATCCAATACAGTCCCGTTGGAATCCAAGATGGTTGGGAGGTATGATTGCACCATTAAAATGTCTTTGTTCTTATACTAAAAATGTTGAAAGCAGCATAAAAGAGCAATACTTATTTGTGTTTCAATATGACATTAGGTTTGTAGAATCCTCTTTAAATTCACGGACGGGATTTCCCCATTTGCAACCAAAACACTATCATCTTATCAACTGCGCTTTGGTGGTTTTTCATATATACATGTTGTACATTTCTACTCATAGTGTAAAGTTGAAATCTTTGTAGGTCTAAAGAATGCATGCAAAGGTCAACAAAAGCAGTTTACTTTGTTGAATACTGGTTGGTAACTAATGTTGCCCGCAGATGCCTTTATTGGTATAGATTGATAAATTAAAAGTGAATTTGCCTTCTTACGCCCTGAGAACATCTGAATCTGAGCACACCCCATGTGGAGATTTGTCCTCTCTCTAAAGTCTAAGTAATGACACTCCTACCTCCACTAAAGAATCCTACAGTACCCACTATGCCTTGAGCATGCAGCAAAAATCTTGATCAATCTTTTTAACGTAATCACGCCTTCTGAAAAATTTGTCTGCTGTGTTTAGTACAGTAGAGGAAGAATCCTTCCAGAAACAGTGGACTACACTCACGTTAAAATATGCTCATGCAGTCCCTGCACAATCTTATTTAGCTTTACCAACAACTATGTAGTGTGTTATAGTGTATGCAGTACAAAAGGCTACCTAAGCAATCAGTTTCATTTATATCCAATCAGGTAAGTATTGCACTGCCACTGCATAGATGCCGATAAATCAAAAGGAGGTTGAGCAATAAGATTGCAACATGCATGGCCAGTTTTGGACTCAACCTCCCCATAAATCACGCTAGATGTCATAGGCAGGTTTAAAGCTGGAGGGGTGGTTGGAACAGAACACACACAGAGATTGAGAATGTTTTTTAGGACCCTTGGCTGAGGGGTAGTTTAATAAGGGGTACACAGCAATAAGGCAGAGTAGAGATAGAGACCAGATTCACAGGGCATCAATACGGGCACAGCAAAGTGGTAAACAGCAATAAGGTACAGCAAGGATATAGTCCAGGGTCACAGGGTAGCAATCTTAGGCACAGTAATGGTTATGTTTCATGGGGTCACAGTGCTGCAATCTTAGGCACAGCAAGAGTTAAGTCCATGGAGTCACAGGGCAAAAATCTTAGGCACAGTATGGGTTAAATCCATGGGGGTCACAGGGGCAGCAATTCATAGGGCAGCAAGCTCCATGTCTCTTCCTGGAGTAAACTCTGAACACTCTGACTCTTAGCACAAGGCTGTATACTGTACCTGGAGTTTTAGCAATCAGAGACTGATCCCAAATTGCTGGTGCCGAGGTGATTGACTGTGCCCTGGTACAGGATACAATACATCCTGAACTTCCTGCTCAGAGGAACCTCATCTCCAGACCCCTTGTGTCGAGGACCTTCATGGATTAATTATGTAGATCAGATGGCTAATTTACATGCAGCCTTTGGGTTAGTTTTGAACAAATGTTCTTAGAGGTTATTGATTTCCAAAAACATCTAACTCTTCAAAGCTAATACTTCTGATCTATGTTACAGCTTACTAAACACATAATGCACTGATTGTAATATCTATTTAAAACTACTGCACTGAGATAACTAGGAGGTCTGGGCACCCCAAAACTAGTCAGAAAACCCAATTGCCCCTACTTTTGTTGAAATTTGCCACTTTGTACATGATTAGACCATCCTACCGATTAAACTTTTTTTTTTAGAGAGTCTTTACATGTCCTTCAATTCAACCATAATTGCCATTATCCGAGTCTTGTACTGTACGAACAAGAACATAGGATTTTGGACTCACCTGTAAAATCCTTTTCTTGGAGTACAGTACAGAACACAGGACCCCCCTTTTTATCTTCTCTGTGGCACCATTGCTTGCAAATTACTGAGGTTCTGTGTTAGGAGGAGGAGTTATATAGGCTTAAAACTGTTTTGACCAGTGTCCAATCACCTGAAGGTGCAGCTACTGTATATAAACCACCCATCATGATTATCCGTGTCCTGTACTCCAAGAAAAGGATTCTACAAGTACGTCAAAAATCCTATGTTTTCAGATTTTAGATTTATTAAGTTTTTAGATTTATATCACTGTATTGGCAAATTGACTTCAATATGTGAACATGGCTCCTTGGGCTTGATAGAGAGATGTGTCCTGACTCATTCAAGAATTATTTGTGATAGTCGAGCCGTGTAGAAATGCAATAATAACTTATCACTATTTTCAACATGTTGGAACACTCTATTGAGTAAAAGATACACAGCTTTCTGAATGTGCACAACTTCCGCTCTTCAGTTGAAATGAAAGAATGTAACAGTGTGTCCTTCCAGTGTGCAAGTCATTGGAAGGACAGGCAGATGTCACACAGCCAGTCATTCTGCTTATTTATGATCACCCTAAAATAGTATATTTATTTATTACAACCGACAAATCATTGTCTTGTCATATCGTCTTAACTTTTAAGTAACTTCATCTATATTTTAATATGTTGTATAACATACTGTATTTTCTCTATCGTAATGTCTTTCTGTACTCTAGAAAACAGTATTTTGTATGTATAAATTGCATTCTCCTTACTGACAATGCTCCTTGGCACAAATCCTGGGCTGCCTTGCTCAGACAAATCTCATTGTCGGTCAGAAATTCACTGCTGCAAAGCTAGGAAATTGATTTAGATATTCTACTGAGAATTTACAACTGTATGAAAAAAGACTCAAAGAGGTACTTCAGATTTTGCTAACAGAAACAACAAAAAACAGTGTGTGAGATAACACTTCTCATTGTAATGTAAATGACCACCATTATGTTATGACTTGGTATACATACCCAGCATTTATTTAGTTGAGTTATGTTTATGTGTTTAGTCAATACCGAATTTCCATGACTTTATATACTTATACACCCCCATAGAGGACAAGTTCTTTGAGTAATTGCATGTCTAATCATATTAGCCTCTGTCACCCCTTTATCTTTTTTTAATTTGTCTCTTCCCAAGACCCAACTTTGGAATATTCTACAGTAAGCCCCACATTTGTATTAAAAGGCCTGATTAGTGAAGCATTAGTCCTTTTAGTTTTCAGTTGGGTTTGTTTATTTGTCAAAATAAGCAAACAAAAAAGGACTAATAGCGTATTTGAACTTCGCAGGTGAACTTTTTCATAGTTGGATGAATGCTTTGAAATTTCACTTTACAGAGAATACCTAATTATGTGCATTATAAAAATTTTCTTTATTTTTGCTTGCACATGATTGATGATAAAAGTCAACAGAACTTCACTTCGTTCAGTAAACTAAGGGGAAATGCAAAGTGCAAATGCTCTTGGAAAAGTGAACAGCCTATTTGCCTTTAGTAAATCAACATCATTGTTTTCACACTAGTAACAGAGGACATATTAGATTAGACTGTCAGAAAATCAACACTTTTGAACTGTGGTGTTGGACAAACCTGGCTTACATCAGTATAATCTGAATGGCTCCTAATGTTTTGTGGGGGAATTAACTGAAAAGTTCAAATGTAGGCAAATCGGTTGTAGGATGTTTTACTACATACTGATCAGTTTTCATTCTTCAGTGCTCAGGTACATTTAATTTGCTGGCTAATATTTCCATAGTATGGACACATCAATTCTGCTTTCCAAATCTACAATCAAGCTTAATATTTGAAACGAAACAGTCAGACTTAAGTACTGCACAATATCACTCGTCCTTTACAAACTGCTGTATCCTTCTTTTTGGTTCAACCCAAAACAGGTTCCTTCCTTGTGTGATGGGACTACATTTAGGCTGAACAGCAGCCTGTGCATAGAATAGAATAGGTGCTTTATATTTTATTCTTGTATATAGTTTTCATACACACTTTTAACTGCCCATAATTTTGTTTTTCAAAGGATAATAGTTATACTTTTCAGGAAGGAGCCCAGTTGTAAAACTGTAAAATGATCTAATGCTTAACTAAGTAAAACTTTATGAGTCCCTATATGTTTATTCTTCAAACATTTTTTATGAGATCAGTGGCAACAATATTATGTTTTAAGGGAGAGGCTATAATATTGTTATAAACTTGGTTCAATGAAAAATTGCATGCTAGGCATCCCAGTTGTGTTTAGTCATCTTTGGTTGGCGCAGCTTACAGTATACAGTATACAAAGAACATACTGGAAACCCAGATGATACGCAAATGGTATATTCAAGTCTGATACAACAGGTTTCTCTCAATTTTCATCAGGTGTACATATACGCATGTTGTATCAGAATAATTGATCTCCTTTGCATCATCTGGATGTCCAGTATCACTCTGTATTAGTTACTTGATTTACTTAAACATGAAGGGAAACTAATGTGTTCATGTAAAAGTGTAATGGGGCTTTAAACTAAGGCTGGACTAATAAGCTGGACTATTTTTACCATGCAAAAGTGGCCATGGCAAGAAAAGGTACACACAAGGAAATGTCCATGGAGTTTTCTAAATATCTAATGCATTACACATCTATCTAGAGACCATCTGCAAAGACTCTCAGAGCTGAAGTATACATGTGAGCAGACTAAAGAACCTGGCTTGCTTGGCCCACTTGAAGCCATTTTTTTTAATTTAATGCCATAGGGAGTGTTGTAAACTGTGAAAATCCTTTTAAAGGAGAACTATGGGGTCAGTGCTTTTCCCCATAGTTCTCCTAAGGGTAACGGGAGGACACAAAGTAGCGTCCTCCCGTCACCTAAAGCTCAGTATACCGCGAGCTACAGCTCGCGGTATACTGAGATGCCGCAGCCGGAACGGATGGTGACATTGCTGTCTGGATCCACCCAGCTGCGTGAGTGACAGCTGGCTCTGCCTATTTAGAGGCAGAGCCAGCTGTACCCGCTCAATCCCCCGTCCGTTCCGCCAGTCAGCGCTGGAGGATCGGACAGGGGAGGGGGGGAATCCCTGCAGGGAGCCATGTGTGACAGTCACACACGGCTCTCTGCACGGATAGATCGAAAAGTGAGCGATATGTGTTCGCTCACTTCCCGATCTACTGAGCCGACCTGCGACAGTTTCGTTGTCACAGGTCGGCTCAGATTATGAGCCTGAGTGAAAATCACTTGCTTCATAATTCTCCTTTAATGAAAACTTTTTTTGCAGTTATTTTAGTGTTATTACTTGCATTTCTTTTTTTATAGTAATTTTACCTATTGTTTGTTTAGGGGCTGGAGCGGACTTTGTAATGCTTGGAGGAATGCTAGCTGGACATGATCAGTGCACTGGAGAAATTATAGAAAAGAATGGCAAAAAAGTCATGCTTTTTTATGGCATGAGTTCAGACACAGCAATGAAGAAACATGCTGGTGGAGTAGCTGAATACAGGTATGACGCGAAATCATGTGCTAGTTAGTACAGATTTTTTTTTGGTCTTAGGAGTGTAAAAATAGGGATCTTATCTGATGAAGAGATGGATGCAGTAACAGAGGCAATGTACAAATGGAAAGCTAACATTACGGGCTTCCGATTTCAACTGATTCCAGCTGAATCGGCCCAAATTAAACCAGTTTATAAAGCCTTTTTAAGGTCATGCCGCAGCATCTTAATAGGAGACTGGGGTGTTAAACCCCCTTCCTGGCCAGGCCATTTTTCAGTCATCAGCACTGCGGTACTTTGATTGACATTTATTCCGTCATGCAAAGCCGTACCAAAATTAATTTTTTATCATTTTTTTGGGAACAAATAGAGCTTTCTTTTGGTGGTATTTAATCACGACTGGGGTTTTTTATTTTTTACTATATAAATAAACAATTACCAAAAATGTGGGGTGCTGGAGTGGCTGAGCTGAATCAACTAATCAGAAACAACTAATCAATAATGAGAATCATTGACAACGATGCTCAATATCGATTATCAATTAGTTGTAGCAGCCCTATCATCTACAAAATGACCTTCAGAATAGGCCACTTAGTTCTAGCTTGAGGCTGGTACGGGCTTACGGTTTAATTGACTAATTGCAGAGGTTAAAACAAGTTATTTCCATTAGAAAAAGAGACAAAATGGCTGAATATCAAAAACAAGATGGAAGAGAGAGAATTTCATATATATACATTCTTTCACAGTAATAAGAAAGCCATCATACAACATATGCTACAAACTGCCAGTTTCAAATACACTTAGGTTCTTGTGGGACTAAGGCTACAGTATTTTACTAAAGGGGCAAATAATCTTTACTTAAATTATCCAATTATGTGAAAAGCAAATTCGTGTTTACTTATTTCCTCTGCATGTGACTGGATATAAGTACTAATGGAATGGATTTTTTGAAATGTTATCCATATATATTGTCTACTGGCTGGAAGGAACAGGAAAAACAGACAACAGGTTCCATCTCCGTATTTGTATAGCTTCTCTATTGGACTGCCTTTTTATAGTATTTAGAGCTAAAGTTTAAGTATGTAGTAGAAGTATAGTGTGGTCTGTGGAAGTCTGAGACCAGACACATGACAAACTGTAAGGGGATAATTAGGTGAAGAAGCAGCTTGTTGTATAGTATACATTCCCCAGGGGGTTTATTTTTTTACATCTCTGTAGAAGCAAAGTGTAAGGAAAGTGTCAAATCCTATTTCTGCACCTCAGCCTGTCATGAATGATACTTCGCAGGAACTGCCAGTTAGATGCTGTGTACTTCACTAGCTAATGTATTCCCTTATCCAGCATCTAGGAGAGTCTTGTGCAAATACTAAAGACTGCGGACTCAATACTGAATACTGAGTCAGAAGCTATTAGATTTTAATTTACTAGAGTGATTTATTTTCCCACACGTGCACATTTTTGAGGCATGGTCATTAGCAAGAGTTGTAATTACCATATGCTTTCTTGGGGTGAAAAAACATTGTAAGGATCAGAGAAGAATGGATCTCAGAAAATCTTGACAGTGATTCACTGCAATAGAGGCTGAAAAATGTTCTTATTGATGTATATACCATACATGTGTATGTGTATATCATGTATATGTGTATGGCATGTGTATTAAAGTAATAAAAGGGTCCGTTTTGGATAAAGTGACAGGGTGTTTGAAAAGAGATGCCCTTTTTTCCCATCTCAGAAACTATTCTCTAACCCCTTTGTATTCATTAAGTAGACATTAAAAACACAGCTTTCAAAACTATGGGTAGTCCAACCATGGCATGCTTTGTGCTCTGCGATGTGGGGAAAATTAGGTTCAGCATTTGCATCTATTATTATGCTCCTCTAGCAAACTCCGGCGCTCCAGCTGTGGTGAAACTAAAAATCGTGTCATGCATCTGCCACTGGGAGTCATGCCTATGGCTGTCAGAGTCTTGCGATGCCTCATGGAATTTCTAGTTGCAATACAGCTGGAGGGCTGGAGGTTGCCTACCATGTCCTATAATGCAACTGGACTAGTGCTGGATGGGCCAAATATGTTTAAAATGAACAATATATTCAGATGACCACTAACAACTTTTCAACTTTTTGGGTTAACACATTAATATTCAGATGACCAGCTTGCAAAAAATACCAGCTATCTGTAAAGCTGAACTCTAGGCAGATATAAATGCAACTCTATTATTAAATCTATAAAATGTTTAATGCAATCTGTGTTGGTACCTGAATTTGACCTGGTAACAGCCTTTTAAAGTCCACTCTAGAGAAGAACTTTAATATAAAGGGTGAGAAGCAGTACAAGGGGTCAGTCAGGTATGCTGCAGTTTAAGGAATGTACATGTAGGAGGAGAGAGGCGAGTGACAGAGAGATAAATGTATCAGAATGCTGTTGTGGGAGTTGGGGAAGAAAAGATGGTGGTACCAAACTGCAGAAGATAAAAACATTAGGTCAGATGTCCTTTGGAAGGTAAAACAGCTCCCATTTGTGTTACATGGAGTTCAGCTTTATAATAGATCAAGTTGTAGACAAACAACCCAATATTGTGAACTGCTTAATAATCACATCTACATTTTTTTGTGTTTCAGGGCTTCTGAAGGCAGGACTGTAGAGGTGTCATATAAAGGAGATGTGGAGAACACTGTTCGAGACATCCTAGGAGGCCTGCGGTCTACTTGTACATATGTTGGTGCGGCTAAACTCAAAGAGCTAAGCAGGCGGACGACTTTTATCCGTGTCACCCAGCAGTTCAACCAGATGTTCTCCTAAAAGAATAACTGTATATCCTATTGTTGTACTGTTTTAATCACAGACCTCCGCCTAGTTTTTAAAACTGGAGAAGTGATTGTTCAGTGATGGCATTTCACTACAGATGTGCATATAATTCTGATGTACCAACAGATTACAACACTTATTATTATTACTGGTTTGTTCTGGGGTTCTGGTTTCCATTTTGAGACGACTTTCCATTTTCATATCACACAAGGAAAATAATAGCCAACAGTTTACTGTTTTTTAATGTTATTTACTGAAATATATTTAACATTGATTTGCTCTGCATTTATTTATTTACTTGTTTTACAATCTAAATTTTTAATTCAGAACTAGATATTATGACAATATTTATTGTATGGATCAACTTCTATGAAAAGATTCTATCTATGAGGACTTTAATGTTTTTAAGCGCAAAAATAGTTTAGGTTACATCAACCTATTGGTGGCCTTTCAAGGACATTTGAGGCCTTAAAATGTACAATAGTAAATGTTTATTTAAAGAACATGTGAAATTATTCAAATATTCTATGCATTGCCTATATACAGAATGTGATCATTTTTGCACGAATAGGGCTGTATTTGCCATTATACTCCTTTTCCTCCCAACCCTAACTGATCACTGCTAATTTTACCATTAAAATTTTAAAAATTCCAGCCTATTACATACTGTTTTCACAAAAGTGCCAAAGCTACCATATTGTAACATATTCATTATTAACTACATGATGCTGTAATATCCTATCAGATTTAATAAACACCAATGACTCATTTGTTAGTATTACCCACAGCCTTAGAACCAGTGTAGTTGCCTCTACTCCATATGACCTTCTCCATAGCAGAAATTCATGTTCTAAGCCTATAAAAATCATTCTAAAGGTGCCCATACACTGGCCGAATTTCGGACGTTTTTAATGTAATTGTGTGGGGCTGTTGGTTCCCTTTCAATCGGCATTCCTCGATCAGCTGATCGATGGAGCCGGCTGGAAAATCTCTGTGCGATCAGAGCTGGCAGCCAATGAGCTGCCCGCTCTGATCGGGTATTCTGACAGGTGCAGACAATGCAGACAGCGGTGATTCCTGTTTGTGTTGATGGAGGAATCATGTCAATTTATTACGTTCAGCCTGCAGGTTGAATGAATGAAATTGGCACGTGTATGGCCAGCTTTAGACAGAATTTTGACAGCACTAAAGTCACAGAAAAACTAGTCCCTGCAGCTTAGTACCCTGAAAGTGGATGTAGGCAGATCTCTAAACAGGTATGCATGACATCCTGGAATCAAGCCACCGATCCACTCATATGCAGGAATATTACAAAATAATGGAAGGAAGCTCATTAGGTGTGTGGTGGAACAGTGTAAAGGCTTATTTAGATGGACTAACAAAGCATGCTCTCAGGTCATTTGTCAGGTTAGTATTTGTCCCCATTTGCCATAAACAGTCCCCTTTCTGTGAGGTGTGTGTCCACACCAAACAAATGTCCCTGGCGGTGTAATCCCCTAGTTTTTTTCCCTCAATATGTCACCTATGAGACTACTGGCTTCTCAGTCTGCCCGCCACCTGTCAAACCTGTAGAAGCTCATGGCCTGAAGAAGTTTCAGAGCACTTTCCTCTTCCCAGAGTCCTTGCTTTCCTTCCTCTGTAACTAACATCCTTCATTAGCATGCATAATAGAGATTCTCCCATTGCCAGGGACATTGTAGCATTCCATGGAGGCAGCTGAGCACTGACTCAACTGCTCCTGGTGCCCCCCTGCAGTGCCCCCTGACCTGCATGGCAATTCTGGAATAGCCAGAATCTGGAAATGGAAAGTTGTTACAGCCTTCTGCAGAATGACCATCTCTTGAACTCCGCTAGAAAGCAAATGTATGTTTCCAGGTCTCTGACTTATGCTGAATGGGTTCTGCAATTAAGTTCCAGCTATTTATCACTCACTTTTTTAGTATGCACAGTGTATGTGCAGTGCTCAGAACTGGATTTGGTTCCTCCTCATCAGTGAATACAGGTTCAGCTCACCATATGCTACTTCAGGATCTCCTGGGCTAAAAACTAAGTCGAGGCATTAATTATTGTTTAGGACCCTGGTGCCCAAACTGTGGGTTACTTATTCCTGACCTCTGTGTTCTGTTCATTGCTTACTTGTGATCTCTGCAATCTGGGCATTACTTAAGCTAGCCATACAGGTTTATATTTCTCTTGTTAAGCCCTGTGGGTGCCGGATGTTTGAATACAATAGCTGACAAATGGAGGGCTGTCTGACTACCCAAAATGTGACTTGTGACTAAATCTAATCAATGAGATTGGATATAGTCACTGTTCAGCTGACAACTTTCCACCTGGATCCTTCGATTTTTCAATCGACCTTTGTAGAGTTGGGTGATGCCGACAGCCAACCGTGTATGGCCAGCTTTACACTTGATATGTGCACTCTGCACATTTCTTACACTTGACCTCCACTCTCACTCCTTGGGTTACCTACCCCTGACCTTTGCATTCTGTGGGTTACTCACTGCTAACCTTTGCAGTCTATGTGTTACCTACTCCTGACCCCTTCACTTTGTGGGTTACTACTGACTTCGGTATTTTGTGGGTTACTTACTCCTGAACTATGCACTCTGTCACCACTGCCACTCACTGGAGAGATCAATGGGGACATTTGCAACTAACTGACAGGGACGTTTCCTGGCAAATGGGGATGGATGGCAATATTATTACTTTTGCATTTCCATTGACTTGTATGGGGAAAAATGGCAATTCACACAGAAACAATTGTCTGTATGCAAAAGCCCTTATAAATCCATCATCAAAAATCAAATAGGTCATGCTAAATAGATATTGCACAAAGGCAATACACAACAAGCAAAACAATTATTATAATCTGCTTCATAATCTTTAGATATTGGAATACAGTAACATATAATTACGTGTTTTATTTGTTTCTTACCAAAGGATTTATGGGTTAGTTAATTGGTAAGTCTGATTTACCGAAGGAGTTGAGGATCTTCACAAAATAAATTGGGTGAATGTTTACTTCAATTATCCAATCATGTGAAAACAAATTTCTGTTTACTTATTTCATCTGCACATTAATGGAAAATTGAAGTTATTATATACACAATTCATTGTGTGAAAATTCTTATCTCATTCATTGGGAAAAACTTTGGAAAATTGTGGCAGTGTTTTCACAGACCTGCACATTGATTGTATGGCTGATCCTTTTGAGCCTACCTGTTCAACGGGTAGACCGTGGGACAAGCTATGTATCTTCTGTTGTATAACAGTGTTTGGTAATTACCAGTATTTAAATCATATATCTTCATCTGTACACAAGACACCATATGAAAGAAATGGTTAAACTGTATCATTGTGTTTTAGAATATTTAATGGTATTGAGAATTGCACATCACTTTCAAATATGCGATTTTATATTGAATTATCAATATAAATATTGCAAATATCTTTGTAGCGTCTAAAAGCTATAACTTTAAAAAATAGATTTTTAGGCTTTCCTGTTTAAACGTCTCCAAAGTCTACGACAGGCCAGGACTGGTAGCTCTGGAATTAGTGAGAAGACTGATGTGTTTGCCGTGGTGAAAGCTCCTATGGGCAGTTCAGCCTTGTTTTAGTGCAGAATTCACTGGAGCACATATTTAGTACCCACCATTCTTTGTTTCAGCAGTGATAACAATAAATATTATTGCTTAACTGAGCTTAGTAAATGTTGGCCATATAAACAAATGTGGGCTAGTAGCATGTGAGGGACGACCAGTGTTTTTTCTTTCCGGTTATTAGCCTGCAAGCACACAAAACCTTATCTACTACCATCTATATTTCTGCTTTCCATAACATTCCTTATATTTGCAACACTACAGAGCAGCAATAACATTTCTCATAATGTAAACAAATTGCCATATTTGTATGTCATCAGTCATATATGATGTACTGTTTTCATGCTCACCTGTCCCTAGGCACTGGACTTGCCAAATGACCTGCTATGCCTAATGATGAGTTTGTTCCTTCTTACTGCGAACATTTGTTTTACAGAGATAATACATGCCTGCACTGTAGACATTTGGAGAGGTGAGAAGAATGCTAGAATGAGAGCTCAGGGACTGGTATTGGTTGCATTCTTGATCACTGAAATATGAACCAAAGCTGCTATAACGTGCCAGTTTTATTTTACAACTGATCACTGATTATTTTTATGCAAATATCCCTTGTATTAATCCAAACATTATGGCCTTGTTGCAAGATTATTTTAGACACTTTATTTAGTTCTGTTACTTTGCATTTGCATTTATTAAAAATGTTGGAAGTTGCACTTTTAAAGACCTCAGAGTATCTGTTCAGTCTAAAAAAATGTAGGATGCATGCTGTAATGAAAAGCAATCAAGGTGTGAATAATCCTACCGGGTGTTAGGTGTTTTTGAGATACACATAGACATGAGAACATAGCCAGCAAAAACAAAAAAACAAAAACAGACAGAAAAGGCATCATACTTTGGTATCTCTAAAACACGATGTTCATAGGAGGCCCATGACCCTGCTGGTGGGTGTCTTCAGGAACCTGCCCCCATCATTACTGCTTTTCTGTAAGATAACTTTCTCCCAGTGTCTCATCCCACTCTTCTCCACATAGCAAACATGGGCGAACCATGCATATCCTTGTAGGTATATGGGTCTTTCCACTCATGCTAAATGAGCTCTAGAACTCTTGCTGATGTTGCTAAGTGTTTGCATTGTGCTACCATGGTATAGCATTTGAGAATATAAATGGATTACTTTAAAAACATTTAAGAAAAGTGTTGGATATGATAAACTGAGCCTTTGGCTTGATGCTTGAATACAAATATGTGATTTGACAAACCTGCAACATTTATTGAAACTCCAGGAAAGCAATTTAATACACAGTTGAAAGACATACAGTATATGTACTGTGTTTTTTGCCAACAGTTGTAGAAATACACAGCACTGTGATTTTTTTTTTTTAACTGCCAAATATAATAGTCATTCTTTTTAACCAGTTATGTGAGTTATGCACCCCTGCCACACTTCACTGCCCGGCAGGCCAAACCAATATGTCCTGGTTGAATTGTACAGCTTCCTGTGTCATATGCTTTCTCATTGGGCATAAAATCAGGAGTGTGATGATGCTGATTTATTGTCTTGTAATTGGGATGGATTCAGACAAATGACATAGAAAATTCAAATTGTATTGCTGAACTAGGAAACAAGACTGTCCCCTACTTGGCAGTGCAATGAGGTAGAGGTGTGTTTC